CTGTCTTCTCACATCCTGCACTCAGTTTATTTTGTCTTTGCACAAAATGATTGACTGAAGATCGGCTGTTCTTTCACATCTCTTCCAGGAGTCTATTTCCTCCACAGCTGAGCAGACTTCCCCAGCACTCGCTAGCTTTTATTTTTTTTTAACTTTTCAGTGTCTGAATACATCTGATAAAGGCCAAAGATATCAGACAGCAACAGAGTTATCCTGACACCTGTAGACAGGACCCACATGATGGGTGAAGAGGCCAGAAGTTCCTGTCAGAGAAAAACCACCGGTCTTCTCACTGTCTTGAGACTCTGTAGGGTAAATCAGGTTTTTTACACCACTAGCCTCTGTGGCTATCACCTACAGCCTTGATTGTGTTAATGTAGAGATGTGTGGGCGCGGGGCACATGTGCCTGATTGTGGACAACTGGAGCATGGCTGTGCATGCATGTGCAAGTGTGCACACCTGAGCTTAGGGGTGGCGATAAAAGCAGTGGCAGCAGTGGGAGAACAAGTAAGCAGCGTGACCAGAAAAGAGCTGAAACCATGAGATGATGCAGGAGAGAGAACACCAGCGAGAACCCAGAGAAAGAGTGTAAAGATTTGCTGGGAGCTGGGAGGCTTGCCAGTTTCTGAGATCCCGGGGCCCCCTGCCTTGCCAACCTACAGGATTGATGCTAGAGACCCTCTCTGGATTCCCCTTCTTAATTTTAGTTCCCCTGGGTGCAGGTCTGTGCACTCAGACCTGCAAGGGATCCTCTGATCTGCTGCCCTGTGATTTGTACTCAGCTTACCTCATCCAGCCTGGCAAATCCTCCAGGTTGATCCTGCACCCAGTTCTGTCCTGTTTCTTTTAAGCTAGTTGTTTCGCTGCATCCCTTGGGCAGCTACTTGTTTCAGATTGATCCCCTCCCACCCTCACTGAGGATGAGGTGTGCTCACCTAGGGGAACTGGCCAATAGCTAGAGGCAGACTGAACTTTTTTATGCAAAGTTTCCAGGAGTAAAAAGATCTACAGAGAATTACATAAGTTTTTAGAGAGGGTTTAATACAGAAATCAAAGTCATCAGGTCCAAGACATAAAGTAAGATGTGTAGACATAAAAATTGGAGGCACACCAAAGGTCTGTGGCTTGGTGAGCAGTGAAATGGGAAATGAGGCAAGTGGGGTCTGCCAGATCAACACTGGGCAGCTAAGGCCCTGACTTGCCTTATCTTTGTAATTCGAGCACCTAAAAATATTCATGGCACAAAATAGGCATTTAATGCTTATTTGATGAAGGAATGATTATCTTGGATACTTGCTGAAATCTGGGCTGTCATTTCTGGGGTCTGCTCTCTAGGCTACATAGCCTGTATACAACTCATAGTCAGTGGATTAGGAGCTCCTTTTAGCAGCTCCCACGTTCGGCTTGCACTGCCCACACTAGACTTGTCAGGTGTCTGATTGATGTAGACTTGTCTCATTTTGCCACTTAGCTTGTCAGTCCCATGTCTTTTCCTAAGACAGCATTGCAAACGCAGCTGAGATTCAGCAAACACCAATTAGTTCAGGCTGAATTGAGCTGGGCTTCCCTGGTTAACTCCTGAAGTTTGTTATGAGTTGTATGATTGCCCATCACTAAAAAAATGTATTGTTTCCTTTGTCTTCAACATTTGATTTCAAAATATCCTTTTATTGAGGAAAATAAGAACACAAATTGCATATGTAGTTTAATAATTGCTGCTGAATAATATAGTTCCTACAAGTTGGAATAAAATAACATTTTGAATTTCATTTCCATGACATGTTCTATCTTGCTTCCTCTCTTAAATGAACACACAAGGGTAAATCCTACCAGCTGCAGAAGTAACCTGTCATGTGATTTCATAATTACCCTCAGGTTGCCAATACAAAATTTGGATTTTTCAGTAATAATTCATTGATTATTCTAAGAAGATTTAGATAAAATCAACCATGAATTTGAGAAATAAACAGACTGAAAATTGTCCATAAAAGAATCTATTGTTACTACCTTTAGAAAGGTCCAGATTTTGTAAAGTGAGAAATAGCTACTTTATTACACCTGAGATGGATCGAAAACTGTTTTTTCGATCACAGCACCAGTCATATTTTGGCCCAGATGATTCTTTGTTGTGAACTTTCCTGTGTTGTAAAATGTTTAGCAGCACATCAGGGGCAGGAGCATCCCCTTCTCAACTGTGGCAGCCCCAGACATTGATAAATTGCTCTGGAGAGAGGGGGGAAATATCCTGGTGAGATTTGATAATCTAAGAGTCCTGATATCCCATGTTATCTTTTGATTCTCTAGAAATTTCCCAAGTATATATCCTTAGTTTTGAGCAAATCAGATAGCATTTGTTCTGTTTTTTTTTTTTTTAACATTTATTTGATTGTATTCTCTATTTTCCTCTTTATTACTAGAGTTATATTAGATTATAGCCTCATTAAGCATAACAACTTGCCTTTTCCTCTCCTAAATTTTTTTTCATAGAAATCAGTATTGTGTTTTGTCTGATAGAAGCATTTAATGTCTGTCAGCTAGCCCCATCTAAACCTCAGCTAGAAGAAATACAATTCAGCTTTTAGTTGGCAGAATTTTATGTCATGGCAGTATGACTGTCCCCCGCCTCCGCCACTCTTTGGTTCATCATTATATTCCCAGCACCTAGAAAAGAATCTGTTACACCAGAACAGAGTAAGTGCTCAATAAAATGTTTGGTGACTGAATTCACTTCCTTTAAAAAAAAAAATGTTCTATGGGGTCCCTGTCCCATTTCCTAAGGGATAACATTTAGAATCCTGAGGTTGGGACTTAAAAGACTTTTTTCTACATTTTCTAATCTTCCCATCCCACTGACCCCAACTTATCTACAAATAACTTCTCAAATGCTTATGAGCATCTTTGCCATGACACAACTGTTCACTTTGTTGAGAGTATTTAAGCTCTCATGTGAGTCAAATGAACATAATACAAAATTCAATGTATTGCATTTCTTTGAGGTAATAGCTCCTGTCTCCATAAGCCATTTTCTTACTCAAAGCCTGGGACTTACTGGTCTGTACCTCTCCCTGAACATTTCATTCTATAAGATGCAGCACCTTTCCCTACTACTTTGAACGGTCATTGTCATGTGTGTGTGTGATCTTTCTCCAAATACTCTGCAACCATTTTGAAGACAAACACAAATGATCATTTTCCAACACTTTAGGGTCTTTAATAGGACCTACATAGTGAAGAAACATTTATTCTCATATTTTTTATTCATTCATTTGTTCAACTAATATTTCTTTTGTGTGATTACTCTGTGCTAGGCTTAACCAGTTGATGAAATACGGTGTCTAATGTAGTGAGAATTGTATCTAGTGACAAAAGACACTGACATGAACACTAACTGCCACTTTTGAGTCTTGTTATCATTTAAACTCTTAGCATCTCAGTGACCCCATCTGGAAAATGGGACTGATAATGCTTACTCTACCTCTTATCACCTTATCACAAAGAATATTAAATGACATTTAATTTTTTGTGCAAAAAATTCTTAAGTGACAGGAAATGGTGTTTTCAATTTGTTCACAAACTCTTTGGTATTCTTCCTTTCAAGAAATTGTAACTAATTTTCATCCTTTTGAGTATGTGTGGGACTAAGTGACTCACTCCTAACATAGAATAGTGATGGCATGTAGTTTTGGAGAAGGTAATAAAAAGGCGTGTGGTTTTTGTATTGTTCACTTTATTTCCTGAAGAACTTGGTCTGGGGAAGCCAGCTACCAAATTGAGAGCTGCCAGATGGAGAGGCCCATGTGGGGAGGAACTAACTTCCTCAACAAGCTGGGAAGCAGCAGCCTCATCCCTGCCATGCCTTCAAGTGACTGCAGTCCCAGCCTCAGGGAAGAAACTGAGCCTGCCACCCAGCTGGTGGCTTCTGGGTCACTGACCCTAGAAACCATGTGAGACAATAACTGCTTTATCAGTTGCTAAATTTGGAGCGTAATTTGTTAGGCAGTAATAGGTAACTCTTACACAGTACTAAGAAATTCAAGGTATTCTTTTTGAATCTGTTATTATTTATTGATGCAGAATATCATAGACTACAATGTTTATTGCTATATGAGTTAGATAGGAGAGGAAAAGCTTCAAAAAAAGGGAAACAAAAGACAAAAACTAGGAAAAGTCACATATGTGTAAAACTTCTGATAAGTAATCTGCAAGCAGTGCTTACTCTGCTACAAGCTTCAGTTTCTGAAGCCTGCAGTTACTGCAGGCTTTTAGACAAAGGCTCCCTGAAAGGAATTGCTTATTCCTACTGGCTGCTTTTGTTTTATCCCACATTTCCTTCTCATTTTGTATGAAAATGAATAGTTTTAATTAAATTAGAAATAAAAACTGTACTTCTACTCTTCATAGACTATATATTTTTTCTAATTAGAGAAAATCATCACAGTTCTTGTTAAACACAAAGGCCACAAACAAGGGAATTTTATTATTTGTTGCATCAATGCCAAATTCTCTTTCAGTGCAGTTCCTTTGCCATAGTAACACTGACCAGCTTGACCTCTATTATTAATAATGCCACTGGGAGGCTGGATACAAAGCCCTCACAAGTCAACTTTGTCAAAGTTAATTTGAACCAAATGAAATTTAAATTTAAAACCATCTACCTACCTTTACCTCACAGAATCCCAATTTATAGCCAATTTCTTAAATACCCCACTGAGAACACAGGAGGAGGACTATTAATTTATTAACCCTCTTAATAATAAACACAGAATTTAAATTTCTCACTGAATATTTATTGATGTTGATTCTCCCAGGGCATCAAGTGAGGGACTTAGGCAGCTATGTTAATGCCTTGAAGTCATGAGAATATTCCTTAATATTTCTATCTAAAATGTCATAGATAGTAAAGAGCATACATCATGCCATTTTCCTAAAAAATTTTTATCAGTCTACTTGGTTAAAGGAATATTTGCTCATGGAAAGTAAAGAATGAAAGCATTCTTACTTGCACGAGATATGCTTTTGGCAGAAGATTGAGTGCTGAATGTCAATTCTGTAACGGTGAGTGGTAGATCAGTTGGAGTGTTCACTGATCCTGAAAGAATAAAACAACACTTATAATGAACAAAACATTGCAATAGAAAGAAAAAGCATTGATTTAGCCCCCCTCCCCACCCTTAAGGCCCCATCACTTATTCCTCTAACAAATCAATATTGAGGGCCTGCTATGGGCAAGGCAACAGGGTGTATCGGTGAATGACAGAGACATGGATAGAGCTGTCTTTAAAGAGCACACAGCCTAGGAAACAGACAGGTGGCAGATACTCTGTTGAGCGTGTGATAGTGGAAGCGCAGGGTATTACAATGTAGAGGAGGGGAAGCAATCAAGATTGGGCAGTCTGGGAAAGCTTCCTGGAGAAAGAGACATTTAACCAGTGGAAACCAGTAATCTTCACACCATTCCAAGACTGCAGCCCTAACCATGTCCAGTTTTTTAAAAAGGAACTATACCTATTTCTTAGCGTTGAGCAAAATTGAGTATGGATGTTTCAGTGTAAACTCATGACCATATTGGAATGATCAACTCTAAGTACACGAGCGGTATAAATATATGCACTGGCAGAGCTGATGCATTGCCCCAGTTTCAGCAGGCACCTGCTTCTGAGTAGTGGGAATGGGCTCATGCAAGCCACAGAAACTTCTCCACCCTAAGCTCCTAGTAATCAAATGTTTGTACTTATGACTGAGTTGGGCAGGATTGAAGTGCAGATTGTAGCCTTAGAAAAAGGGGAAGACTTTCCCTCATAAATTATTCTGCTTTTTATGAATATGTTATGAACTACAACATCTCTGAAAATAGGAATGTGGTAAATAGCCCTGAAGAGTTGTAACAATGATTTGCAAATCTGTTTTAGTTTTATAAGTATTCCTTCACTGTTACATATGCATGTTTGACAGTTGCCATTACAAGTTTCTATTTTTTTATAGGCATATCTGTTGCCAGTGTATTTGTTGAGACATTTGCTCACATCTTTCAGCATGTGTAAGTGAAATCTCCATTATCTGATCTGGTTCAGAGTAATAAGCAAAATCATCCTATATATCTTTTTTGTACTTGTAGAAAAATAAGTGGAATGGCCCTGTAAATCAATTTTCAAGTCATAAAAGTCCTCTATGTGTCAGATTCTGTTCCTCAAGCTAGGTACACTAACATCACTAAGTTACAGTCCCTATTCTTAAGGGATAGTTATCATATTCATAATTTATTCATTCCTAAGTATGGATATTAAGTATATATAATTGAATGTTTTTAGTGACTCAGAAGAAATTTTAGTTTTTCAAATGCCTCTTGATCATTAGCATATAAATGTTAATTTTAATCATATGGTAGGTTACTAAATGCTAATATCTTTAAAGAGTTATTTTTAATGAAATTTAAACAGCCAAATATTGGCTGTTTCCTTTTTTTTAAAAGATTTTTTTTATTATTTATTTACATAAGCACTGGGTACAGTCAGAAGCACGGGAGGGTGAAAGAATTTACCAGAGCCAGAGTGGGGAGCAGAGCAAGCAGACTGACGAAATACACTGCTGAGGGGAGCGGCGGGCGGCAGGAGAGGTCTGCGCACCATGTGGGATCCTTGCCAGCGGCCGGGAATCGAACTGGCGCTGCAGAGGCTGTGGGCAGCTTCGCAGCCCAGCGCTCAACTGCTATGCCACTGGGGAGGCCCAATATTTGCTGTTTTCACCAGAAATTTGGGGAAACAGGAATCAGTTACATTTTATTTGAAGAAATTCTTTCCAGTAGAGTCCTGTTTGTCAAAACAAAGCTTAATTTGAAATATAATGATTTTGATTTGTGTAGAAAGAGTTTTCTGAAATTAAAATATGGGAATAATGATAATTCTATTCCCATTTGAAATATTTTGAATTTATAGTAGTCTTGGCCTCCCCTTTTTTGACCCTACTAAATAGACAACTTACCCAAGGAAAACATTATCTTTTCAGATGAGATATTCGATACTTTATTTCCAGGGACTGGAGCCAGAGCCACACACCAGATGGTCAGGTTGTTTGATTGGGCTGGTGGATTATCATCCACTCTTGTCAAAACAGATTTCAGTTCCAAAAATCCACCTTTGTCTTTTCTCATTTCATTGGTAATGCTTATTTCTACCAAACAGATAAGGACAACATTCATCAGTACTGTTTTCTGTGCGAGCCAGACAGAACCGCAAAGCAGGAAGGGATATCTGAAGACTGTTGGGTTTATGGCAACATAGAGTCGAAAGTGGTCAGACACAGCTTCTGTGTAGTGAGGGTGTATTCTTACAGCCAAGGGTCTGGAATTAACCTAAACTTCTGCATCACATTGATCCAAGGACAGGCTATGAAAACTACTGATGAACAGTTTTACTTTGTTTGTGACCACAGGTCTAAGGAGTTTTGGGGCAGTTGTCCTAGCTTATCAACATTGTTTATTGATAACGATGAGACTGATGATTTGCACCTGCCCAGGGTGAGACCCCGGTTAGCAGGACTCTCCTCTGTGATCAGGGAAACATAACACAACCCTAGCTAAGATTCCATTTAGGGCTTGTCACTTTTGAGGTGTTCTGTACTGCCTTGGTGGTTCCTCTTTACAGAGTCAGGACGAAGATCCCAGGTCTGACTTCTTTGCATCCCTGGCTATAACTATATACATGTGATACCAGCTCTCACTTTACTTATTGCTATGTTGTATCATTTCTCTGTGATAAGCTATATTGTATCATTTCTCTGTGAGGATATTATATCATTTCTCTGTGATGGTATTGTATCATTTCTCTGTGATATTGCTATATTATATCATTTCTCTCTTCTAAATTTATAACCTGTGTCATTGTAAGTCTTGTGAGTCGTCTTTAGAAATAAAACTCTGTTTAATTGCTGCTGTTAGTACAACCTCCAAATAGAATGCTTGGCAGCAGAAAATTAATGTAAAACCATTTGTCAGCATAGGTCAGAAATTTATGAACTCTCACAGCTTCTTGGTGTTAAAGGTCCTAAATGCTAGTTCTGAACATATTACTTGACCAAGTAATAACTAAATGCAATTTTGAGCTGTAGAATTCTGACCACACTCTCTGGCCTCATGGGTGGGAGGAAAATGGGCACATCAAATCAGGGATTATGTACGGGACAACGGATTTATTAGTGACCTTTTGAAGATACTTTTAGGATTACAGCCTGTCAATGTGGGTGAGCTGGTATTAAAATAAACTAATAATAAAATGATTAACAGTCTCAAAATACACTGTGATGAATATAATCATTCATTAGTATAAGCTTTTAATTTTATCCATTCAAAATAACGCAGCAAGAGTTATGTGACACAGTTACAATTGGAAATATATTAAGCTTTGAGGGAAAATGACTCAGAAAAAAGGAACATGGTCATTATGCCAGGCAGTGTATGGCTGGGATGGTTCTGGCAGAGGCTGCTGTGTTTACCACCTATGAAAAATGTGGCTTTGTACATTATCACCTGAGTTTGTCTCAATGTATATTCCCGCTCCAGGAATTTATAATCCTCCTGGTGAACATATTCTTTGTCATAGGGTCATATCCTTTATATATTTTTTAAAGATTTATTTATGCACTCAAGAACTAGGGTACAGGCTAGAGGTGTAGAGGGTGAGAGGATTCACCAGAGACAGAGCGGGGAACAGAACAGGCAGACTGACTGAAATACATTGCTGAGGGGAGAAGCAAGAGAGACAGGAGAGGTCTGCCACACCATATGTGGGTTGCTTCCTGGCCAGGGATCGAACTCGTGCTGCAATGGCTGTGGATAGCTTCATTGGTTGCGTCTTAACCCCTTGCACCACCAGGGAGGCCTGAGTCATGACCTTTACATGTACTTTCTCTAGTGCCCCCACACCCATCCCACCCAGGTCCTTACAAGAAAAAGAAGAAATTTTTTATTGAAAATATTAGTACAAAATCGGGCCTCCCTGGTGGCTCAAGGGGTTAAGACGCAACCTATGAAGCAATCCGCAGCCACTGCAGCACGAGTTTTATCCCTGGCCAGGGAACAACACACATGGCACGGCAGACATCTCCTGTCTCGCCCGCTGCTCCCCTCAGCAGTGTATTTCATCAGTCTGCCTGTTCTGTTCCCCACTCTGTCTCTGGTGAATTCTCTCACCCCCATACCTCTGGTCTATACTCCAATTCTTGTGTGCATAAATAAAACTTTTTTAAAAAAGAAAATATTAGTGCAAAATCAAAATCAACTGAACTTATTTTTTTTAACAGTTGCTTTTTACTAATGCTTAAATAAAACATGAATTTTATGTGTGAAATGACAAAATCAACCATATCTCTGACATGCTGGGAAATGTCCCACCTCCCTCCCACCGCTTACCCAATTTCTAGCAGGAGCCAGATGACATATCAGAAAATGTCATTTGGGAGGTAAGATCACATTTTGGGAGAATGAGAATTGTTCTTAAATGCCAAGATCGACTTGGCAGAGGCAATGTCTATTGTTCTGTTTTCTTTCTTTTTTTGCTGAACCCATTTCCATTGATTTCCTTACCTTTTTCACCTTGAGGAGAGCTTCCGTCTATAAACCATGTGAGATTTGCTGTGGGAAATACATTATTCAGTAAGCAGGTAAATGTCCTCTGGGGATAAAGTCAGAACAGAGAAAGGGTTATTTGCAAATTTGGAAGAAACTGGTGCCCCTTTACATCTCCACTTTTAACAAGGCAGCATCTCTTTAAGAGGTTGTGCTAAAATGTGAACTATAAATAGGCTATCTCCTACAGAGATATTATAAATTAAGGCTAGAATCCTAGGTCAACTTAAGGAGAATCTAGGACAATACTAATATTCCAAGTCTGGATTGTGGTTCTGGAAAAGAGAAATGATAGCTACGTTTTGGCAGAATAAAATCATACCAAATGGCAGCCAAATAATAGAAGGAAGAAGCTGTAACAGGCAGAAATCAAAGAAGAATCTTCTGTTATATTGAAGACTGAAAGAGATCCACATTTTGGTTGATTCCCTTCCCCAAATGATGTAAAGTACTATTTGTAACAACTACAGGAACCATCTAATATAAATACCTCTCTTTTGAATTGAGTTATTGTTTATATCTTAACAATCCTGTAAGGTAAGTAGGACATGTCTTATTGCCACTTGACAGATGGGAAAACAAGACAGAGTGGTTAAAGGGAGTGGAAAGTTGTTGGTGGCACCACTGGGGATGCTGCAACCTCAATCCCTAGAGAGGATATTTTCTTTAAAACACATTGCATTGAAATGCATATAAACAAACAAATAAACTGGGAACTTATATTAAAAAACCAGAAAACTTAAAGATAGAGTTGATTCTGCTTTATCAACAAGACTGTGTTTGTTCTTTTGTGAGATGGTAGTTTCTTCACAACCTGGTGAAAGCATCTAAAAACGCTTATTGGATCACCATTACTTAATCAAAAATGGCAAAATTACAATCCCATTTAAAGTTACTTGTTTTCTCATCAATACATGTATTTTACATATGACTAGCTGTTGTTCTTATTTCTTAAATAATTTCAACAACTGGTTAAACAGTAAAGAGCAACTGTGTGCTCTATGTGCCAATTTCCCCACAGACTAGTTATCTCAAGATTTTGGGTCTACAGAGCTGAAAAACCAAACTTGAGGATACTAAATAACATTTTCTGGTGAGACCTTACTAAGATGCATTTTAACATCATCCAACACATCACTCCAAAAATCCCAAGGAAATAATGAGACTTTCAGAAGAGATTATCAAATTCAAGGTGGCAGGTGGCAAATGCTGCAATTCCCACTTATTCAAGACTTGACAATGGAGATCTGTGCATGTGGCAGGAAAGCTCTCCATGAAATCATGTCATTTTCTGTTCTAGTAAATCAGAAATAAAATAAGGTCCCCTAAAATAAATTCTTACTAAGTAAAAGAAAGAGAATTCAGTTTCTTTAATCTAATAAAATGCCAAAGATTGAGGTTTATTTTCAGGTGGTCCATGAAAGACTATATGAAGAGTAATAGGAATGAAATGTTAAAACAAAAAGTTGTAAAGGTTTGCATTAACGCTAATACCTTCAACAATTCATGATTCATTTCCTCCATGTTTAGTTAACCTGCCAAAATATGATAATATGGTAATATCAGGAACACATGGGGCTTCCATTGTTTTACAAAAGCAACTGGCTCATTGAAAAATTCTCTTGTCAAGTTATAAAAATGTTAAAAAGATTTAACTCGTGGATTCTCTGAGTTCAGAATTTCTGTAATGATTCAGATCACAAATATTCTATAGAATTTCCAGATTCATTTTCCAAGTTTTTGTTTCAGAATATGGTTCTTGTCCTGAAACTTCTCCCAATCTTTCTATAATAGAAGGGCTGAAGACTAAACAAGTTCAAATTTAGGTCACATATCTTATGAAATGTCAAGCACATATAATTGCTGAGGAAGCAGAGTTTTATTTATTTGGGACTTCCACTTGCCCAAACGGTAAGAAGAAACACATGTTGAATTAGATAAAAATATGTACCATAGTATAAGTGCACAAACTTACAAGTGCACTCACATGCTCCTCTGCTGAATAATCACAATCATTTATTCATTCATTGCACGCTTGTCACATCCATGAGACCAGCCAAATAACTAGTTTCTCCAACATGATGTTCTAAATACATACGGAATTAGTCAAGAAAAGCAAAAAGGATTATCTAATGAGTGCCAAGGAGTTTATGAGCAGTTCTGTAGGAGTATAGAGAACGGTAAAATATGGGAAAACTTAGAAAACAGATCTGTTTTGTAGATGGGAAAGAGATGATTTGTATTCTACAGTGTGGAAAGTGGTGGGGAATCACAGAGCTGGATGGATGGAAAGAGCCCACAGAGGAGCATCTCACTAGTCAAGTGTTGGCAGTGCCTACTGCCCCGGGAAACAGGGGGAAGTCAGCAGATGGCTGGAGCAAAATGAAATTAAGAAGTCAGAAAAAAATGAATTCAAATCTGGCTGTAGAGCTGATCATTTCCTTATTCCCATAGATGTAATACTGAAGTGGTGACCATAACTTTGGGCAAAACTTTGGATAAAACCATTTCCGAAGGGCTTTTCCTAGAATCATTTTGAAAAATTTACCTTTTTATTCTAGAAAGAGAAATCATTAAAAAAAAAAGTTTCATTTGTTTACCAACTCTTCATTCCTATTTGGAGTTTTTCCTAACAACTACTACCCTCCCCCATCCCACATCTTTTTTGACATTTGAAATTGAACTCTTAGTCTCTATGTATTTTCTATTGTGTCATTTTTATTGTTTCTCCTAGTTTTTTCTTTAAATGGACTCAAAGTTTTTTCTTTGATGGACAGCATCTCTAAAATGTTCCTATATCCAGGTAGATTTGCCTTCTATATATACTGATAGTACTATATGCAATGTATATTGATAGCGGTTATCATACCTTCATTTCATTCCAACTAAGAGAAGCAAAAACATCTCAGTTTCCCCGCTCTAGTTACTTAATACAATAAAAAGAAACACCAAATCTGTTTTGCAATTTGCTATATATTTTTTTAATTTGGAAGATTTCCTTTCACTTTTCTGTACACTCTTTGGCATTTCTAGTGACTTTATTTACAATATCCATAGTTTCCAAACTACAAAGCGAACCTTACCATCTAACAATTTGACAAAGAATTTGAGAGAGGTGTCCTGAAGAGTGTAGTTTCTCAGCCCATATTTCCTTCTTTGCCCCTGAAATCTCTTTCTTTGCTTGAGAGCTTGGATGATCTAGTCATTGGGAAACAACTAAAGTTTGTAGGTGCTTGGCTTATTGTTTTACTTTATGAACGTCTGCTCTAGGTGTTAGAGCAGGGAGGAGAAAAGCTTTGCATTCATGGCTAAGTGTTGCAAAACAACAACAACAACAACAACAACAACAAAAATCTGGCCAATAGGGACATACCCACTTGGAAACAAAGCTCCCTTGAAAGTGGGAGGGAACAAGAGTTGGTGGTGCCCTTCTGCTCTGGGCTGGAGTCAGTTTACTGCTATCCAAGGCTTGTGTGGGACTCAGCCTGCACTGGAGTCTGCAGAGACAGGTCATTAGCCTGCTTGCTCTAAGTACCCACTGTGGCTGGGGGTGTTTCCTAACTGTCCAGGGTTGCAAAGCTCGAGGAACAAGGCTTCCATTTGCTAAAGAAATGACCCTAAGAGGAGAGAGAAATCAGATGTTTTAAAAACATAATATCATTATCCATTCTTAAATTGGGGTAAATGAGCCAAACATCTGAAATAAGCTGCTGTGGGGAAGGTCTGATCAGCTGTTGGCTTTGCAGGTGATAGTGCAGGGAAGGTGTGGTGCATATGCTGCTTGCCCGAGAATGACCAGATAACCCCAATTCTCCTATGTGGAAGCCAGTGCCCCAACTGAAAACAACCAAGTCTACTGTTCAGTTTTTTGAATCCCAGCCCCAGAGGGATCTCTCTAGGAATAAACTCACCTATAATACTCTAGGAACTTCATCACCCAGTTGCTGACAGGCTTTATATCTTCTGGACTGTTTGTTGCAACAGTTCTTAGAAGCATGAGTCTCTCACATTGGTATTTGTCCTTGCTTGCACCTACCTATACTGGCAAAGATCCAGTGAGGCCCAAGCTCTGGGGATCCTGACAACCTCAACCCTGAGACTGTTTCAGTGGAAGCCGCAAGGAAGATAATCAAGAAGAAAGAAGAAATCTAAAATTCTGAACATTCAAAATACCCATGGTCTTGGTTGATATAGAGAACAGCAAGATTTTGTAATTGTTGGACTAATTTGTTTTTTCTTTGTAACTGAGCCAAGGAGGATCAGCAAGTATCTTGGCATAGATGGGATGTACCCGAGAGCCTCAGAGGTCATTTTGCTTGGCTCTTACTCACCCTGACTCTCCCGTGGGCAGAGAGAAGGAAACATCACACATGTCCAGGCATGGCCAGCCTTTGACTATTATTACAAATCCCCAAAAGCTACCATAGTCCCTTCCAAAAGGCAAGGTGGTAAGCCTCCCTGGTGGCTCAAGGGGTTAAGACACAACCTATGAAGCAATCCGCAGCCACTGTAGCACGAGTTTGATCCCCGGCTAGGGAGCAACCCGCATGGTGCAGCAGACCACTCCTGTCTCACCCGCTGCTCCCCTCAGCAGTGTATTTCAGTCAATCTGCCTGTTCTGTTCCCCGCTCTGTCTCTGGTGAATCCTCTCACCCCCTGCACCTCTGGACTGTACCCCAGTTCTTGTATGCATAAATAAATCTTTAAAAAAAAAAACAAAAGCCACTGTGGCTCAATGAAAGCTCTAGAAGAGATAGGATGAAGAGATAGGATGAGGCAGGAAGAGGAAGAACAGGGAACAGGATGAAGGCCAAGGAGGACTTAGAGATGAAGGAGGAGGAAGAGAGCAGTGAGATGGGAGAGGTAGGCCCTTTGGCGCTCCTGTGCCCCAGGACAAGGGGAGCTGTTTTTTGGAGGTATGGGAGTATTTCCACCGGGCCATTTCATGTGTTGGGCACCACCCCAATCAGTATGCCACCTGCTGCCTGTGTGGCAGGCAGGTGAGCCATGGCCCTGGGGTTAATGTGGGAACCACAGCCCTGTGGAAGCATCTAAAACGCATGCACAGAGGGGAACTGGAGAAGAGTGGCCATGGTCAGTCAGGACAGCACTGGGACCCAGGACGCCAGCGCCACAGCTCCCCATGAGCATTGAGCGCAACTGGGACAGGCTCCTGCAGCAGGTGGGGGCCCTGGCTTCTTGGGCCAGCCGAAGAGAAAAAGAGGTGCTCAGGAGAGAGAGGGCTGTGGAAAGGAGAGAGCAAGCCCTGAGGAGTGGAAAGGGCCACCCTGGAAAGGAAGTGGAAGGGGAGAGCTGCGAGAGAAGCCTGCCAGAGGGAGAAGGGCCTGTCCGGAGGAGCAGCTCATCCATTCCATTTTCTTTAAATCGAGCATGGGGGAGTCTATTCTGAAAATACTGACTTCAGTCTCATAGTAAGGAGTCCATTCTAGTTCTGGCCAAAATTTAAAGAACTTTAACGGGCTTTTGTTTTTAAGAGAAAGATTGGACATAATGCGGTTAATCTCAGTAGGCCTGAACCTGTAAAATACTTACTGCAGGGGTTCTACAGCTGTCCTGACCCCTGGCCACCACTTCAAAACATATTAGCTAAAGATTACTGTCACTTTTCCACCAGGGGTCTGTGAGTTGTTTGGGGATGGGCAGAAGGGACCTGCCTGTCAACGCTGATGAATGAAAATAATGGGATTTACGCGTAATACTTGGTTTTGGTGGAGCTGAGTTTCCGTGGTACTGATGGTCGAGCCTGGCTGAGGTGCTGGACTGTGTCTACGAGACCCCAGCACCGTCAGAACTCCTACTTCCTGGGACTGATGGTTTTGTACCCATATTGGTGGTGATGTGAGAACTGGATACAGAACTTCTGTGGGACCCAGCTGTGGAAGAGCAAAGAAGCCTGAGTCTGAGTTTTCTGTGCCATCCCAGCGCTTGTGTCTTCCCTGTGGCAGCGTGGGGCACAGCTTCTCGTAAAGCGGTTATGTTACTGTAAGCTGTGAACCCTGTGAGTCCTTTCAACACCTCACACATAATGAAGGTGGAATTAGCACAGAAAGCCATTTCAGCTGACTTGAATTAAACATAAAGAACTTATGGACTCTTCATCAATATATAAAAATATTTTCAATATATGAAAAATAATTTTATATTTTAAGCTCTGTTGAAGGAGAGGGAGTGAGGAAGAGGTGATAGAAACTCAGAAAGAGAAAAAGATGGAGAGATGGGGTGTATAAGGACGATGAAAGAAGAGCAGAAAAATCAAAAAGAAATGAAAAGGGAGAGAGAAGAAATGTGAAGACAGGAGAGACAGCTCCAAGAAGACATTTACCATGGAAAGATGAGAGACCACAGCCGTCTGGGAAAGCAAAGGACAGAGAACAATTTCTTAGATCCTGAGGTCAATTTTAATAAGTTTCTTTTGTTTTGTGCCTACAAACTATGAATTCATTTGAGCTGTAGATTCTGGATTTTATTCCTGCTACTGAAATCCTAACCCTGCCAACCTAGTATTCGCTTAGTAAACTGTTCATCATTAAAGAGTCACAGATGCTTTTATAAAAAGGGACTTAACAGTCTATAGGAAAAGAAAAAATTCCTCTCTGCTGGGGTTATGTCCCAAATGTTAACTGGGGAATAAAATAAAATGAAATGGGGGGACAGGGAGAGGAAGGATTAGGGTCAAAATAAGGGGGGGTGCAATTGTATGGGGAATATAACCAGAATGAAAATGCATACATTGTGCAAAAATGAAAAATGATGTAAGAATTATATAAAATAAAATATTAAAAAATATATTAAAAAATTTAAAAATAAATAAATGTTCCCAATTTAAAAAAAATAAAATGAAGTGGGAAGACAATGTGGATTTTGTGTTGCAGCTGACTTTGTATTGCACGATTCCTCCAGAACTTGTAGTTTTGTTTGTTTGTTTGTTCTTTCAATTGAGTTGGGTATGGGGAAGGAAATGGTGAGACCTGGGAAGACAACAGGAGGTAGTGTCTCTTTATGTTGTAGATGGCCCCAGTGCTGCATGGCATACACCACCCTGAAAATGTACCCTGGTGTGATATTGACAGCTTGCCTGGTTCAGGCCTCACCTATGTAGCTGCCTCTTCTGCTTCTTAGACTCATTCGTCAACAGCCAGCTCTAACAGTCAGATCTATCCTCCTTTTGAGCTGTTTGTGAAACAATCACAAGCACAAACACCCGGACTGTGAAAAATTCAGGCTGCACTGGATTTTTAAAGAATTCTAATTATTTCATATTTCACTTCCCATGTGATTTCCCTGCAGGGGTGTGGTATTCTTTCAGGACACAAGTAGTGCAAGTGATGGTGGTGGGTGTGAGTTCCGGGGCTGGACCTTTGAACTCAGAGCCTTAATAAACCAGAAAAGATGCTGGGGGGTGAGGGAGGAAGGAGAGAGGGAAGGGGTGATCAGAGAAAGAGAGAGAATAGAACCTAATCTTAAACACACATGTACATACACACCCACACAAACAATTGGAATGGAGCTTAAGAAGGTCAAGAAGTGGACATGGATTTAGAATTTACAAAAACAAAAAAAAATAAACCACAATCAAATTATATAAAAAGCCACCAGAGCTAGCCTGCTAAACTCTGCTGCATGGGTTTTAGATTATGGTGTCTATTTTATATTGTTATAACCTGTTTTATATGTTAAACCTTGTTTAACTTTTTTTTTTTTTTGGCATTTTCATCCAGTTGCTTTTGTTTCCTATAGGTAGTCCTCATTAGATTTTTTCCTCTAATTTTTTCAAATAATAAAGTTAAAAAGTGACAAGGACAGGACCCAAGGAAATGACTGAGTTGAAGCACAGTCATGGGTTTAAAAAGGTATCTGTGGGCTGTAGAAAGTCTGAGCCATTGAATAAATGGGAATTTCATGTATCCCCCCTTGTGCCTTCTTGTGGGCCATTATCAAAGCAGCATGTGGAGGGCTCAGGACTGTGGGCTGAGGGGTTCTTTGGCATCCTCTGCTCTGATACAAAAATCTACTTCGAGAGGCTCTGAGCATTAGGTTAAAGACTCCCTTTCCATCTCTTCTACAGAAGCCAAGCTGTGTGCTGTGTCCCACCTGCTAAAACAGCACACGAAGACAGGACATCCGCAGTAGGGACACGCTTCCTGGACATCCTGGCAGGTATAAACCTGAGGGGCATCATCATTAGAGTAATACGGAAGTGTTCTATTTTACAGGAAAACTAAATTAAGTAATATACTTTGTAAGTTTAACTTGGGAGGCTAGAAGACACAGTTCATGACTGACCAAGTTCCACTGTCCTAAAGACTGAATGCTGTGGGTGTAGTGAATAAGCAGCACACAGTAGGCATCCTTGCCGATTTGGTTCATTTCTAAGGAATGAAAGGAAAAGGTAGGGAATTGCCATTAGCAAACATTTAATAATTGCCAAGTGTAGATGCTCTGCATCCACTCTCCTCCATCCTTATATCATCTTTGTAAGGCAGGGGATCATAGCTGCCATTCATTGCTGAGGAGGTAAGGAACTAACATCCCAGGGACCAGAATTAATAAGCAATGGAGGAGAATTCAGACCCAGGTCTATCAGATAACACATTCTGTGTTCTGTATTTCATTCTGCCACATTGCCCTAGAGTCGGTCACACAGGTTATGAATGTACAAGCAGAGAAAAATGTGGGGGATAAATAGTGGAGAAGAAATATTCCTGAGATGTCCACTATTGTCATGTGCCTCGTTACCGTCTATACATTTGACTTTATTCTGAGGCCTATGAAATACTTATTATGACCCAGTTTTAGGATGAGTTTGTTGAAAACATGGAGGTTAACTACTTGATGAGGATATGTAGCTAGTCATTGGTCAATTCGTTCTATCTTCCCCTGAAGCACGTTCTTCCTCATGATATTGTCCTATGTGGATGTGGACATGCTCAGTACTCACCCCACCCCTGCCTTTTATTAATGTCAGTCAGTTGTTTAGACTCTCCAGATCTCAATTTTTCATCTATAAAATGACAGATACCTTTTCTATTCACATGCTTGTTAGAAGCATTACGTAATAGTATTGTGCTATATGAAAGGACTTTGAAGAGTTCTAAGTCATTAAAAATATAATATACTTAAATATACTAAGAATTCACATACTTTATTTCATTTAATGCTTAAAGCAACAACAATGTACAAACATTCTTATTACCTCTTTTATATAGTGGGAAAACTGACTACAAATATGAGTGATATTTTCCAAGGTTACAGCAATCAAGAGGAGGTGCTGGCAAGTGAGCCCTGGTCCCAGGGACTAGGGACTGAGAACTGTACACAAGAAATTAAAGTCAGAGACCATATTCTATCTTCTTTTTCTCCCACTGCCTAAGAAATAGCCAGGGTTCTGCAGAAGCACAGAAGGGCACATTTCCTCTTGTCACTTCAAAATAAAATAACAGTAAAACTGGTATAGGAAATGGATTAGAAAAAAATTAAATGTCAGCTGAGTGAAAAACCTCATTCTTACACCAGGAATCACTTTGCTTTTTGCCCTGCTTTCCCCTCACTATCGAGTTCCATTTTTATTAAAAAGAAATGTAAACTATTGAGACTATTTTTCCAGGAACTGTAAGGAATGAGGATCGCAGATCACATGTTCTAAGAGTCTTAATTTGGAAAGTAAGGAATCTCACTGGATTTCTAGAATCAACTCTATTTTGTTTATCAGAAATCAACTGGCTGAGGGGCAAAGGCCAAGTTCTAAGGTCCTTGGAGAAAATGTTCTGGACAAAATGCAATCCAACACAGCTTGCCATATTATACTGTAGATTTTCAAAGGCTTTAATGTCACTCACCTGTCCCAAGACATCCATGGAGTTATTTTCCACAATCATGGGCATTTCTGGCTTAGCTTAAAGGCAAATAAAACAGTTAGTAGCAATGAATGCCATCTTACTCACGACAAGCATGTGTGGCGTATCTATCTGTCGCAGCATATGTGTATAAGATCCATAATTCATCAACTATTTATGTGCCTGGAATTATGCTAGATGCCTGGGATACAAAGGTGGACAAACCACATTCATTGTTCTTAAAAAAATTCACATTTTCACGGAGAATAAAGATACATGAATTGTAAATCAGGATACACTGATATATTTATGATAATTGAAGCCATGGAGCTTAAAAGGAAGATTTTAAGAGAAGTTTCAATATAACACTGGGGAATAAAAAGACTCCTGAGAGATGAGACATCTCACTGATATGTGGATGATTACCGGTGAATCAACTGAAATGGGGAATGTGGATTTGGGGGGCAAGCAGTGAGGAGAGAGAAGAAAAGTGTATCCTATGTGTCTAAAGGCTTAGAAATAGATCATAACTTGGAGGTCCCTGAATGGGAGGAAAAAACACTTGACACTATTCAGTTATTTGGTACTAGAAAATTTCAGAGACTTTGCTTTCTTTTGGTCCCCTAAGTCAGGCAGCTTTATTCATATTTCCACCTCTGCACTTAACATTGTCCAGCACAAAAATCATCATTGAGAATATCATATTGAACTAAAGTGACTTCAAGTTAGTTTTTGAGCATAGCAGATGAAGTTGTCCTTGAACCAGTTGAGAAAATATTAAGAACCTCTGTTAAACGTGCCATCAGTGCCTGCCACGTGACTCAGCTACATCTTGAAGGCCTCAGGCAGGTATGTGTGTGACTTGCTCCTGAGGATTCACTGGGGCCACGGGAGCACACTCAGTACACCAGCCCCAGAGACCCAATGGTGAAAACCCTGGGGAGCTGGTAAATCAGAACAGTTTCCTTGCACATTTGGGGATAATCCTCAGGTGTGTTCTTCCCCAGAGGGAATGAGCTCTAAGCCCACAGTGGTCACGGACTTGGTCAGGTGCATTTTATTATCTTCCTTACTTCTTTTCTTTGAATTGTTTCTCACCCCTCTTCTGACATTTTCCAGGCTTACTTCTCAAATAATTTTACTCAAATTCTTGTCTCTATGTTTTCTTTTGGGAAATCCAAACAAAGATGCGACCTTAAAATTCTAATGGGAGGAGGGGGTATTCCTGACCTCCTTTTCGCAATAGTACTCTGGGGCCAACAGGACTTGAAAAAAAGAACAATTACTGAAGGTTTTAGGGATAAAGGAAAAGATGCTTTTTGAGGCTCTGAATGGTCAGGTTTAGAACTTTGAGGGAGAGCAAACTTGTGATGGCAGGGGACCCTCTGCTCAGTAACAAAACATCTATGGAGACGATGGGGGAGGTTTAGGATGTCACGGAGGAACTGGAGATGCTTTGGTCCCTAGTCTATTAGCAAATGGAGACATTTTTCAGGAAGAAGAAATGAGCTGAATTCAGGGCATGTAAAATGCCTTGAATTTAAACCTTGAGAATTTAATTCAAGGTTTTCAAGCTTTATTTTTGATTTATTCTGAGGAAAGGGTGTCGAGTAGGTTCTGAATAAAATATACATATTGTGCCAGGACCACTATAACAGACACTCAGGTGGCATCCACAAAGAGATTAATGTCTGCATGAAACTCTGGTTCAAACACAACCTAGGTATTGTTAAGAGGGGAAGTTGGGAAGCAGGGAAAATTTAATTCTATAAACAAGCAGGTAGAATCTCTTAATTTTATACATCTACTAAAAGAAGACACAGACATGTAGAGACAGAGATATAGGACATGCTTTAAATGTTGATAAGAAAATTAAATCAAGAAACAGTGCAAACCCCTTAATCAAATGGGACACAGTTCTCCTAACTTGGAATCAATATTTCTTTTCACATCCTTGATGACTGTCTGTTGATTTGCCAATAGTCAGACAAAATGAGTCAGTTTCATGTTTGTATTAAGACAATCAAACTCTGTTAAGTGAGCAAATAGTAGAATAAGAGAGCCGAGCAGTCTTTTCTAACCCTTCTTGAGACATTGTTCAGGCTCCATAAGGAACCTAATCATTGAGGCAATTGACTACTTCCTAGCTCATCCCTGAGGAGAGACAAGAAGGGCAGGAGGAAGAGAGTGTGAGCAAAAGATTTAAATGAAACAAATCTTGGCTGTCAATATTCAAATTTTTATGAATTACAGGCTTGGTGCTGCCTTCAAAATACTGAATTGTTTGCCCTCTAATAATAATGCAAAAGATTCTGAGTAAAAACAAAGATTTTTTCCACTTGTCCTGGCATTTGAAGAACTGAGGAAAAACTAGCATCTCATGGCCTTAGGTATTATGGAATTATTTTTTCTATAAATAATTAAATTAAATTAAAGTTTACCTCACTTTAAAAAACAATTAATGTTCATCCACATCACCACTTTTCTCTTTGCCTTCATTTAACAATGATTTTAAAAACAAAGTTGGGCCTCCCTGGTGGTGCAGCAGGTTGAGTGCAGTGCTGTGAAGCTGTCCGCAGCCTCTGCATTCCCGGCCAGCCAGGGAGATTCCCATGGCGTGGCAGACCTCTCCTGTTTTGCCTGCTGCTCCCCCCACCAGTGCTTTTGGTCTGTCTGCCTGTTCTGTTCCCTCTCTGTCTCTGGTGAATCCTGTCACCCTCCCACACCTCTAGCATGTACCCCAGCTCTTGTATAAATAAAAAATAAATCTTTAAAAAAAATAAAAACAAATAAAAATAAATAAATAAAAACAGCTATTGGTCATAAAGATAAAAAATATCTATAGCCAGAACTTTCTGCATAAATAGAAAATAGCAATATTTCCATTCAAAATAGAAAAATATTTTTCTACCTATCCCTTCAAACTTGCATCATGAAGTTGTCTCTGCAATTTGAGTGAGACCACAGTGGATATCTCAGTTCAGCGCCACACTCTTAAGAATGCAGGGTTAAAGGGCCACCCCTATGGGTGGCTTGGCTGAGCAGCTGGAAATCTCTTACCCCGTGTGGCCTTGGTGGGGGTGAGTGCACAGTTTCTTTGGAGTTGTGTTTATCATCTTTCTCTTCTCATACAGGACTCATTTTTTTCCTTGTTCTAGCAAGCAACTAAGGCAATTACATGAGCAAGCAATTGATCTTTGGCATTTATAATTAAAGAGATTGCCAGTGTTCTTAGGAAACATTAAAGTTGTAACTAAGGTTGTGGTGACCAGGAAATCGATCAATCTATGATTTTAAGATTTTAAATTAAAATCTTGTGATTTTATTTTACTAACTGAACCATCATTTTGTTTAACATCCTGATTTCCTCCCTGTCCCCAATATGAATGACAAGCATCAAGAAAAGAGAGTTCCAGAAGAGCAACCCTTGCTTGGCTACCCAGCAGCTAGCAGGGTTCTTCTTCTGTAGCAGAGACCAAGGCAGGAGAAATTGACAGGAGGATGGAAGGGAGTCGAGAGAATGAATGAAAACTCTTACCAAAAACTTTGACCTTAGTGAAGCTCCTCAAGATTTTGCTAGTATTGACTTTAACGCAGCAAGAGAATGTCAGGCCATCATCATGGACTTGGACTGGAGAAAGCTGGAGACTGTAGTTTGTACCCAGCTTGACTCTGTCTTTAAGTGATGTGGACTTGCTGATGAGATGATGTTGGGTATTTCCTGAGTATTTCCTGATAAGTATTTCCTGAGTTCTATTGTCCTCCTGGTGAGAAAGTTAGTTACCAGTTATTGAGTGTACAATTTTGCCACATGCATGAATTCACCTATATCTTATAAAAGTCTGGAGGATGATACTAAATTAAGAGATATTTAATGTTACTAGAGAAAGTATCATTACACGTAACTTTCAGTCACAAACCACCAACAGTCTCTACTAACATAGAGAGAAACTTGCTCCTCTTCTGACTAGATCTTCCCCTTCATAACCTGCTATAAGCTGCATATTTGGGGGAGGAGGAGGATTTGAGGAGCATAGTGCTGGGGGCTAATGGCAAATAATAAGTCTCACTTTAAGTTCTGGAATCTTATTGCTAAAATTTGTTGAGGCTATATAACTTTTGCTTATTAAATCTTGATCTGAACTAGATAATTATAGTTACCCTCTCTTCCCTAAATTGTTCTAGAAAAGGCCTCATTTTAGCTCTCCTCTAAATCCTAGACTAGGATGAGGTAAAGAAGTATGTAGGGCACAAAATTTAAGGACACACTTACTCTTGGGGTCTTTTAAGTGAAGGTTGTGCGCCTGAAAATGAGGTGCTGTAGGTACCTCCTTACCTCCTTATATCAGTCAAGTCATGGTTCTGGCCCTTCTACCTTTAAAAAGGATGCATGAGGGCCTCCCCAGGTGGTGCAGTGGTTGAGCACTGGGCTGTGAAGCTGCCCGCACCCTCTGCAGCGCTGGTTTAATCCCCGGCTGCCTGTGAGAGTCCCACATGGCCAGCAAACCTCTCCTGCTGTGCCCACTGCTCCCGTCAGCGGTGTATTTTGTCAGCCTGCCTGTTTTGTTCCCTGCTCTGGCTCTGGTGAGTTCTCTCACCTTCCCACGCTTCTGACTGTGCCCAGCACTTGTATAAATAAACAAACAAACAATCTTTTTTTTTTTTTTAAAAAAGGGATGCATGAAAAATAATCTGAATATCTGAATTTTGGAAATCAAAGTTTATTTGGAGTACTTGGTTTCTCTGTTTCATATCCTTTCATGGGTCTATGAAGAAAAACCACAATTATTCTTTCCCTACCCAGAATTTCCATGGACAAAGTGAAGGGGGTGGTCACAGTAGCTCAATATCAATAAATGTGTTGAGGGCTCAGTGAGAGTCTTGAGGGACTCAAGGAGAAGGACCCAAAAGAAAGGGTCAGGTTCTTCTACCTCTTTAGTGGAAGTTAATATTCTCAACTGAGTTGCTTTGAAAACATTCTGATGTATAAGCTTCTTCTCCAGAGAGCCTAATTTAGTTGTTCTGGGATGAAGTTCAGGCTGGGGCATTTTTTCTAAAGGTCCTCAAGGGAGCCAGGCCTGAGAATAACTGATCTAACAATAAACAGAAAATGACTGACTCCTTATGCTCAAGAGTCCGGGGAATGCAGGGAACAGTAGTGAAGGAGAGTGAAGAGGAATGCAGTGGATGGGGAAGGAGTCAAAATAATGGAACCAAAGATCTGTTACTTGTAATCTCTAGCCTTAAAAGAATGAGACAGATTAGGAGTAGAAGAAATGGAAGCAAGTGAGTAAGAGAATTCAAATATGGGCTGGGAGCAGACACAGCAGAGGCATGAAGGCAGGCTTGCTAAGCAGACAGTCCCAGATTATACATAGTAGAAACTCCTACCCTAAGACAGTTTTTAGGGCAATAGCACTGGTATCGATTCGATGCACAGATACACAGATAGTGCTGTTCACAACAAATCATAGTTTGCTTAAGACTTACTCTTGAAGCTGTGTGTGTGTGTGTGTGTGTGTGTGTCTGATACCCACAGAAAGGAGAACCGAAGAGTCTGTGTTTCTGTAAAATTAAAGGGAGAGGACTTATATTATGAAGACAGAAGCGTCACCATTAAAAGGAGCATCAAACTTTTGATAGTGATAGCAGAAAAAGAGAAAGGCACCACCGTCTTTGCTGCTCTGGAGGCCAATAATTAAGGAGACAGGTGCCCCCTGCAGGTCCTGTAGCACAACAGCTAAGTGTTACAGCTCTTGCTTCATGTAGATAATGGTTTTGGAAAGAATTTGGAGCTCATAGTGTTTCTTGATCATTTAGTAAATGACTTGCTATTTGGAATATTTCCATCTGCACTTTTTTGTGGGAAGAAGACAGTTGGAGGCTGATGCTGAGTTTCAAGGCTGATGAGAAAAACTGCTTTTTCCTTTATCGTGGGGCTGAGTGTGACTGACCAGGATGATTTCATTGATTAAGGAAAGATATACAGAAAAGCCCACTTTGTGCCAAAGTTTTTTCTTTCTCTGGGAAGTTGACTGGTATAGATAGAAAAGGGTTTGTTCTTCTCTGGGGAATAATGGAGTTCTGTAGCAAAGTATACCTTGCAATGTACAGCAGGATATCCTGAGAAATTCTGCTATAAAGGGGGTGGCTGCCTGCATGGAGCAAAGAGGAGTGGTGGAGAAAACCAGCACAGGCAAACAATGAAACGTCTAGTGTTGGGAGGAGAAATAGTACTAATTATGTCCTGACCACTATTCATCATTGCTTACATTTACTTAGCACCTACTACATTTTAGGCACTGTGTAAAGTTCTTTCAAGTCTTGTATACTCCCTACAATAATCTGAGGTTAAGTAACTTGCTCAAAGACCACACAAAGTAAGAAAATAGTTAAGTTTTAGCATCAAAGAACAGGGATGCCAGGTCCAGGGGAAAATAGACCTTACCTGAGGTGAGGCCTTCCTCGCTCTAATTCTAGATCTTAGGTCACACAGCTACCAAATAGTAGAGCCAAGACTTGAAAACAAAAATTTCCCTCCAAAAGTCAGGCTGTTAATGACTTTGCTGTGTACAACCTCATAAAAGTAGTAGAACAAAGAGTGCTTGCCTTTTCTGCTTAGAATCTATTTGAGGAGAACAAATTCACAAGAAAAACAAATACAGATTCAGGATCCACAGAAGAAAAATAAATAATTTTTGAAACTTGAAAAACTCAGCATCAGCCTCCAACTGCCTTCTTCTCACAAAAAAGTGCAGATGGAAATATTCCAATAAATAATTACATATGGGAGTTGGATAAAATAATTAGCATGATGAGAACTAGGTGGGTCATACTGAATCATGGAAAGCTAGCTCCTTATGGCTCTAAAGAACTGAGAAAAGCTCAAGTAATTCATGGAAGCTTTCTGAATTTTATACTAGAATCAGAATTTTCAATCAAGAAAAGGGACATTGGTACTATTTGACTAGTGATACTGTCTCATCTCTGAGTGGACTGAGTCATAGCTGGCTGTATTGACTATGTTACAAGGCAGGTGTCAAGTGTATAGAGATCATTCTGTAAATTCTGTTAACTGCATTGATTGCTGCTTCTTTATCTTCAAATTGCTTTCTGTCTTCACATTTCCTCCATTTATTCACTATCCACTCAGTGCGGCCAAAGCAGGCTACTTGCAAAGCTCTCCCATTCATTTTGCAGAGCACCAGAACAATATTCTTCCCATCATCATGAAGGGTTCTCAACACTTTGTAGGCTGGCTAGCACTTTAATTTTGATTTCAGTGAAGAAAATTAGAGTCAACTGCCATCAGGTAAAAGGTGATAGTTTTGTTTTCCCAACATTGCTTATAGTACCATTTCACTTTTTGTTTAAATATAAAACATTAAAAATATTGAAGATGAGCCTATTGAAGAGATATATTTATAAATAACAATTTAAAGAAACATTAGCATCTAAATTTTAACTATGTGGCTTGATCACATATCTTGGACTGACAATCCTTCTCCTTTTCATGATTTTAGGGAGAAAAATCATAGATTTTTCTTTGCCCCCCAACTTTGGGGACAAATTGTCCCTCAACACCTGCCTCCAGCACCTACTGCCAACTTGTACTCATAGGCCTATCATTTTTAATTATCCAGTTCAAACATATCCAAAGAAACTTTTCCACATCCATATAGTCAGAGTCATACTATTTTCCCTTTATGCTCCCATTTTTAAATATTTTTATTAAAGTTATATTGCAAGGTTGGAAAAATATGCCCAATATAGTTTTGTATTCCTGTAGGACCTAGATGTGAAAAGAGATTCACATGTGTTTATTAGATTGAATTAGAAAGTACACTATGGGAAATTATGACTAGAGTTTGTAATGATAACAGAATATTAGAGTATCATATTTAGAAGCTCCCAGAATAAGCCTACACAATTTCCCTGATGGCTTTATGCTTGGGCCCCAGGACATAAAGTAAAAAAATATCACTTGTCCTTTATTTACTGGTTGCATCCCATCTAAACACACACATTCTATGCCCTCTTATAGATCACTCCACCGTGCACGAAGACCATCAGTGTCTACCCTTTGTGTTGACCTTGTTACCGCTCATATTATACCAACAATGGACCCTGTTTGTACCTGATGGCTGTCTGCTCCTGTGTACTCACAACCCTGGAGTGTAACTTTCCCCAGGGCAGAGTATCTGCTCCAGGAACCTATTTGACATAGATTTAGCACAGGATCTGACACAAACAAATTTTAAAATGATAACTGGGAATCCTTCCAAAAACTTTTCCCATGAGGATCATAAAGGCATTAATTAGATTTTACAAAATTCCACATACAGGAATACATGACTTATCCTTTCTGTTGACCTAGATTCAAATAATTTTAATATGGAAAATAGCTGACAGGGCATAAGTTAGTTCTTGAAGTGGGAACTCGTAGTAGTTTCCCAGAGTCACTGACTTCAGCATTTCAGGTTTCTACTGTCCTGAGGTGACCTTCACCATCTTCACTTTTTAACCTTTTTCTAAAAGCCAGTTATATCATATTTGTGAGAACAAGTGGCTTGTCATTGTGATTATTATTCTTTAACAAGAGATCAAAGAAAACTATGGACTGGAGGGAATATTTATGTGCTCTGCAGAAATACCCATCCAGTTATGAGATGAAGAGCGACAGCTTATTCCCTAATATAAAAACATCAGATGACTTCATGAGAATTGTTAAATCCCACAGCCATCAACAGTGTGGAGCACAGATTTAAATCATACGAACAAATAGATTGTGACATTTAAAAGGGGAGTGCACAGTAGGAATTTAATCAGCACGTTTGCCAATACAATGTTCCCTTTGAAAAGAGGTTTCTTTCAGAGAGATTCTTCAAGTTGTCTGTTTCATGATGCATTCTTTAAAGTGACAGCATAGCTTGAGGGCCTGGTGGAAGTGTAGGACTTTACGCTCTCACTGTGTGACCTTTGGTTTACTCTGTCCTTAATTTATCCTAAATGTCACGGTAGGATCCAAAGAGAATATCAATATAGCCTTCCAAGTTTCTTTGAAGAAAACCCACAATAAAGAATGTTTTATCAGTTACCTAGTCATTGATTGTTAATGAGTTGCCATTCACTAACCAATCGAACAACCAACATGAATTTAGTGACCATCAATTTAATATGAGGGCAATGAACAGTACTGTGGGGAAAAAAACACAAGAAACAGATCCATTCATTATTTATTAAGAATTTATCCAGTGTCTATATTCTCTCACTAGAGCAGACGCTGGGTGATTTTGAAGGGAGTAACACTTCTTTGTGCCTTGGAAAGGTTTAGTCACAAAATACAGAGGCTGACTGAAAGCTTTGCATTTACTTGCCAAAACCACATTATATATCCTTGAGATAAGAGTATTGCAGATCAATTTAATTGCCAGCAAAAATAGGTACAACAAAGTTTTATTAAATTTGATTATTAGTTTTATTATTATTTATTATTTATTATTATTTATTATTATTTATTATTTAATAATAATAACTTTATTATTCCCATTGATAATGAATTGGTGATAATTAGGGTGGAAACTTTTTGCTTATTAGTGGAAAATAGTAATATGAGCAAGGCATAGACAGTACATTTCTGTGGCTGTGGTCATGTTTAGTATAGCAGGTTTCTGTTCTCCTGAGATCACCTGTATGTTTTAACCTTTCTGTAAGAACCACAATATATTAAGTTAAGAATAAATGACTTATACTAAGAGTAGGCATAATGCCAAGGAATCCTTATATTTTGGAAATCAAGCTCTAGAAAGGGAGAAAAAGTGTTTTCTGATAGAAGACAGAAAGACATTGTAGAATTTAGAACTGCATGAGGAAGTAATTTTATAATATTTTTTCTTTTCATACTCCTGACTATTCAAAAAATATTTAGACAGTGTATTTTAAGACTTACTTGCAAGTCAGTTATTTTGTATTTATCACAACCCTAGAGAAATCTTTTTATGTTGTGCTTAGTTTCCATGACAGTCCACAAAAATCTAGGTAACTTGCAATACAAATGATCAATCATGTGAATACACTGTTTTACAAACTCTATCAGTTATTACATTCATGAAGATCTCTGAGTTCTGTAAGAATTTTTAAATTTTGTATTTTCATTTTGATGACAATCTAAAATAATATAATTTTATTCTGGATCATCTGAACAAGTACCCTATCATGTGATTCTTGAAATTAAGTTTATGGTTTTACTTTACAATTGTGTTAGTCTTATGTTATCACTGGATTTGTTAATATCTGGTTGCCATTGGTTGAAAGTATTAGAAAAGATCTCATAAAAATTCAGATTTTTCACTTTCTTAAATTTTTAAGTCAGAAAACATGGTAACTCTGGGGTCATGCAATTATCCCTGTGACATTAATAGAATTGAGCAGGGACTATTTCTTAAACAAGTTCTGCTTCTCTTATGTACATTTTCTTCTTATATTTTACAAGCATCAGAATTTGCTTTTCCTGATATAAAACAGTATTTCCCAGAATGCAGTACAAAGGGTTCTGGGAAAAGAGGGCTTAACCCTCTGTATATGTTGCTGATAAAACATATTTATGAGTAGGGGCTTCTGCTGGATATGAATCCTACCCAGGAATCATCACTCTCTTTTTCTCTTTGTAATCATGATTTGGTGTATAGTTTGAAATAGGAACTAACCTTTAGAAATGACTTTCTAAATTACTGCATTCAAAGACTTGGACGATTGCTGAGTTAGAAGGAATCCTCGTGCCCCGCCCAAACCCCTCCTCCCCAAACCTTGGCCATTCCCCAACCCTCCACATAATGCCTGTCTCTTATTCAATATGTTACCTTCCTATTATTGCTGGTTATTCATTTTTACTTCATTAATATTTAAAGATTGCAGTTATTCACTGAAAAGGGCAACACTTACCACCAACCATGTAAAGTTGAACTCAGACGAAATTTCTGAGGTGATATTTTGAAAGCATGGTATTTCCAGAGTCTGATTTATCTCTATTTCTATTGTATGGTTACTTCTCCATTCATGCGGTGTCACTGCAACAAAACATAAGGTGAAAAAGTCATGGGTCTGTGATTGGTTTATAAAGTGTTTTTTACTGAAGAAATGAGAACAGTTTTGATATTCAGATCCATCTGTCCTCACAGTGCAAAACCAGACTGTAATCCTTGTTGCATAAATAGCAAAATGGATACACTAAGAAGCACAGGGAGATGCTGATCGCTGGAAAATTACAGGAAAACTGCCCTAACAAATGTGAACTCCAACTTGTTATGTTTCTCTGTTTTAACCCCAAACGGGTGCTTTCCTTGATAAGAGAGATTATAAAACTTTATAATTTAAGACATTTTAATATTTTATTAAAGACATTTAATAAATGTCTTTATATTTTAAGACATTTTAATAGGCAACTACTTCCAGAAAAGTTTTAGTTCATAGCAAACTGAGTGGACAGAGTACCCATGTTCTCCTTGCCCCATGCACACCAGCTTCCCCACTGTCAACATCTCTCACCATGTGGAACTAGTGCCACAACTGATGAATCCACACTGACACATCATTACCACCAAAGTCCATAGTTTATTTATTTGGGTTTACTCTGTTGTCTGGTCTATGGGTTTTGAACATTGCAGTGTTGATACTGTATTTTCAGGTGTTCGGGCCTAGTCTCCCAGCCCGAACGGATCCCAGGCTGTGGGAAAAGTGCTGAGTCCCAGGCACTAGACCAGCACAGTTGGTGTCTCACGAAGCCGCAGCAGGAACTTTGCTGACGCTCAGGCAAGCAAGTGGAAAAAAGGCAGATTTATTTAGATAAAGAAAAAGATTATTGAGGAGAAAAGGGACAGAAATAAAGTGGGACTTCCAGGCCAGTGGAACCAGGTCAGGGAGGGCCAAAAGAGCCGAAGTGGAGTCGGGCCTCAGGGAATATAGACCTTCTTTCCCTAGTTATTCTAAGGTTCCACCAGTCTCTGAGATTGGTTAGATCTTGGTGGTCTCACTGCCTAAATGTCTCTGTGCCCAGAACTAAGTCTCTGTGTCCCTGCCCTTAACTTAGAGTCCTTTTTCTCTATCATCCTTGTCCAGGAATGTCCTGTTTCCCCTAGTCCTGGAGTGTTTGATTAGTCCCCTTTGGAATTTGTTGCCCTTATCTCTGGAGCCTTCCTTAACTCTCCTGAAGTCCCTGCACTGCCCCTGAAGCTGCATAATTATCTCTAAGTTGCCCTAGGACTCAGCATCACACGGAATACTTTCACTGCCCTAAAAATTCCCCATGCTCCTCTGTCTATTCATGCCTCTTTCTCACCAAATTCCTGATATCCACCGGCCTGCTTTTTGTCTTTATATCAAATTATCTTTTTAGAGCTTATAAACCCTTATTCAAAAAAGGAGCGATGCAGAAAAATATATAGGGAAAACTCTTTGAAAGCACATGAGAAAAATATCTGTTTAAAGTCTCTCTTTTTTGGGAAAGTTATTGTACATATACATACACATTTGCAACTACCCTATAATAATAGCAAATAATAATTTATAAATGAAAACAGCTCTATCATTCCAGTATCCTGAAAATTTTCTTATCTTTTCTTTTTTTATAGTTATGTGGATTTTGTTTGTATACATATGTTTTCTCATCTTTTGTAGTCCCATTTACCTACAAATATTACCTATGCTTTTTAAGTAGTTTTGTATAATTCTTAAACTACTTGTGGCTGCAATAGAGGCTTATGTCATTCATTTATGTACCATCATCTATTTAGACATTTATAATTATTGAATCACAATGTTTGTTCAGTTTGAGTCTTTATTTGAACTTCTTTCTCTTACCATAGGGGGAAATGGGTGGGGCCAAAAAACCAAAGTATCTTTTCATAGAGTCATTAAAGCGATAAAGATTGAGACAGATTAGCTAACTACCAGACCCAACGAGCCTTACATTTCCTGCCAGAAGTGATGCTGCTGCTGCACCTATGGAAGGAATAAGGACTTCCAGAAGCTATTGGGGGTAGAGGTTTAGATCTTTGATTTGGAGAATTGAATGCACATGGGTCACGTGATGAGCCATGCCCTTTCCATTCTGCCCTTTGTTGTTGTTTATTTTCAAGCAAGCCCACTTGATTCCCTTACTGTTGGAATAAAATTCCCAGGAAGATCTCTATGGCCAATGTCATGGAGACTATTCCCTATTTTCTTGTATGTATTTTATGGTTTTGTTACAGGGCAGGAAGTTCCCCTTTTCCTGGGCACCACCTTGTTACAGTTTCAGGTCTTATATTCAAGTCTTTAATACATTATTAAATTTTGTAAACAAAAGCAAAAATAAACAAATGGGTTACAGCAAACTAAAAAGTTTCTGCACAACAAAAGAAATGATTATCAAAATAAAAAGGCATCCCATTGAATGGGAGAAGCTATTTGACAGTCAATATGCAACAAGGGTTAATAAACAAAATATATAAATAATTCACAAATCAGAAAAACAAAATCAAACAATTGGACTAAAAAATGGGCAGAGGATCTGAATAGTCTTTTCTCCAAAGAAGGCAATCAGATGGCCAGCAGGCACATGAAAAGGTGCTCATCATAATGTATTATTAGGGAAATACAATCAAAACAATGAGATATCACATCACACTTGTGAAAATGCAAAAGCATATTACCCAAAAGAAAAATGCAAAAGCATATATCTTGGAGAAGATGTGGAGAGAAGGGAACCTTGGTGCAAGGTTGGTAGAGATGTAAATTGGTACAGCCCTTTTTAAAAGCAGCATGGCTATTCTTCAAAAAATTAAAAGTAGAAATTCCATATATATCAAACTCAATATGTTTGTTCCTTGACATCAGTCTTGGCAATGATCTTTTTTGTGTCTGACACCAAAAGCAAAAGTAATCAAGTGGGACTATACCAAACTACAAAGCTTCTATACAGAAAAGTAAACCATTAACAAAATGTAAAGGCAGTAGGATGGGACAAAATATTTTCAAATCACCTATCTGATAAGGAGTTAATATCCAATATGTCTAACGAACTAATGCAACTCAGTAACAACAAAAACCCAATACAACCCTAAAATGTGGGCAGAAGAAATTGAAGAGACATTTTTCCCAAGAAGACAGTCAATGATCACAAGAACATGAAAAGTTGCTCAATATTAGTAATACGCTGATCCCCTGATAGAGGCACAGTCTTTGATTTTTTTCCCCCTGGTTCTATTGACATATAGTTGACTTATAACATTGTATTAGTTTCAGGTGTAGAACATGATGATTTGATGTGTCCATATTGCAAAGTGATTAGCACAGTAAGTTTCGTTAACATCTATCACCTCACGTAGGATAATAGCATGTAGTTAGACTAAGATTATTAAGATTATATTCTGCTACAAATGATAGATTATAAAAATATTATATTCTACATTAATTCTATTACCTTTCCTCCTCCTCTTTCTATTATTACTACTACACCTCCTCCTCTTACTAATGCTTCCAATAACCACATTAAAAGGATTCCTCCCGATGGAAGATTAAAGCCATGTTGTACTCTCATAATGCATCCTAATAATTACAAATTTTAAAATGCATCAAAATATTAAAATCTGCAGTATTTTGGAATCCAGTGGCATTAAAATTAAGGAAACCTCCATTAAAATAACCCAAGACTTAACTTAGAGAACTGTGTTTCTTGCAATAACCAGAAAGCTCCTAACTTATGAAAAAACCCTATCGACCAAAAATGAAAAAGAAGAAATGTCAAACTGTTTATTATATTTCTCATCTATGGCCTTAGAGCTCCAGGGTACATGCAGGAGCAAAATGCAGTAAAAAAAAAACAACAAAGTCCCTTTGATGGCAGACCTTCCCAGAACAAGGGATGCAGACACACTCTTTTGTGAGCAAAGACCTGAGGAGAATGACTCAGATGATAACAGACGGAAACAGGAAGTGGTTCCAACCACCAGTGGCTCCTCAGCAGGTTAATATTTAGATTTTTATACATGAGTTCTCTTTGCATTTGTTTATGTACTTCATAAATATTTGTACTTCTGGTACACTTTGCTTCCCAAACTAGCTAGCAAGTTTGGGGATGTCACAAGAATGTGAGAGGGAAGTGGTACAGTGAGAGAAGTGAGTGAGGAGCAAAAGCAGAAGAGGGAAGGGAGGTGTCACTGGGTGGGGACTTGGTAGGGCTTTTGCTTGGCAACTACCGGTTGTGTTCAGTGTCTACCCCCTTAGCTCTATTCCAGGTGCTCATTTATGGTCCATTTTTATTCTTTCTGTTTTGCAAACAGCAAGATTGTAAACAGAAGTCTGGGGAAATCTCAGACTATGCAAAGCATGTAGATGTGGCTTCTGCATTTCCAGTGGCTGGCACCTTTTAGTAGCTATAACTTAGCTCCCTCTGCTTGTAAGAAACATGCTTTCCTTAGTGGCAATACCACTCTCCTTCCTGGATAACATGCTAGTTCTTCTTCATTCTTGTCTTCACATCTTGAGCCATCCCATACCCAATTTTCTATAGGGTATGTCAATTCATGTTGCTAATTCTCAAGGGAGTAAACATTAGATCTTCAGGTATGCAACAGTATAGCATGCAGATTTAGGTGCAAGGCCAAGGTCAATATGATTTTGTGCTAATGAATGGCAGATGTCCTGTTGGGTTCCAAATGAGGCAAATAAAAAGAGAGGGAGGAGCACTCATTTTTGATAAGAATTGAGAATAGTGTTTATTCATTATTATTATTGTTATTCTTAATGAAAACTATCATTTACCTAACTATAAGTACCCTTTGGCAGGATTTATATTAAGTGCCTTATATAAATTATCTCCTTCAATCATCAAAATAATAGTACCTATGAAGGAGGTACTGTAATTATCCATACCTATTATGTAGGGAAGCAAAAGATTAGTGACTTGAAATAACCTGGCATAGATGAGATGCTTGTAAGTGACAGAGCCACATTCAAATCCCAGCTACCTGACTCCAAAGTGTGTGTAGCTGAACAGTATTCTATAGAGATCGCTACATTTCTCTTCATTCAACCCCACCCCATCCCCAATTGAACAATTTTTTTTTTTCCTGGAAAACAGCAATGGAGCAGAGCATTTTAAGGTAATGGTGGAGGAATTCCTAGAGGAAGGTGGGCTGTTTTAATACCCTGATCTTATCTCTTGATAAGAAGCAGAGATAATAAATCCACACATGTTTATTATCCGGGGCAGTTCCATGACTGTTAGCGTAGTTTCCACGAGTCATTATTTTTTTCTTATTTTAACAGGCCACTTTGCCCCTGAGTCAAAAACATTTCATATCCAGTGCATTTTGCATTTGTTGGCCTTCATTTTAATTCTTTTCCATGAGTAGAAATGGAAATTATTTACTTTAGGGCCAAGTAACGTAAGGTAGGTGTTATTATCAACATTTTCCATGGGCACAGTGAGGACAGAGAATTTACATGACCAGACAAAATTCATTTCTAGTCAGAAAAAAGCCTGAACTCAAGCCTAAGATTCTTGCCTTCAAATGCGGACCTCTGAAGCAAGTATGTGTGAATGCTGCATGTCTTCCCTGCTCCGAGGTACTTCACCTGCCTTATACTGAATTATATCCTAAGCCACTTTTATAAATTCTCCCCACAAACCTGCTCTCCTTTCTTTGCTCCATCCCCCATTTCAATGAATGGTACCACCATTCAGGTGTGCATGCCAGTTACCTGGATGTCACCTTCAATTTTTCTCTCCCCCTCATTCATACTGCCATTGCCCCATATCCGCTCTATTACACTCTGTTTTATGTCCAATACATAAAATTTAACATATTCTTACTATATCTACTTGCACTACCATTCTGTCTTTCCTGGGCTTATCTCCTAATTAGGCTCCACCTTCTCCTTCTTGTCCACCTTCAATCCATTCTCATTTTGAAACCAACACAATCATTTTATAAGACAAATACAATCAGGCTCCAAACACTGTGCCATTCTTTTGTTGAAAATACTTCAATAACTTCCCATGGCCCTTTGATGAAAATCTATACCTTGGATATGGGTGAGTAGGTCCAGTTATGATCTGGTCTTTCCTTATCTCCACCTTCACCCTGACTGTCCACACTGCAGGCCCACCAGCATGGACCCATTTTCTCATGTCTACTCATTCTTCAGTCCTCAGTGGAGGTGTTGTTTTCTCAGGGTCAATTTCCCTGGCCTGTCATGCTCTCTCTCAAGATGGTTGTAGTTCTTATCACTTATCCCTGTTTCACAGTATGTGTGATCAATTTCTGCTTCCCTTACAGATAATTCCTGTTTTGGCCTCATCTTTGTGTACTTAGCCCCATGCCTACCACAGGGCAGGTGCATGATGCATATTTGTCAAATGAATGTAAGCTGATGGAAACAAGCACTATCCTCCCTCTATGTGTCATGCTTACCAGTTGTCTGAATGAGAACGTTGTAGATTTTCGTTCGAATGCCCTCTGGATACATAGTAAAGGTACACTCGTAGTTCCCACTGAGCGAGGAGGACATGTTCCTTAAGTACAGAGTCCATTCTGACACATTTCCAGGAGCTTCTGTGAAAGCCACCAGTGAGTCACAGGGACTCCCATCGGTACAGTAATAGCCATACAGGGGATGATAAACGGCAATCAGTTCTTCTTTATTGGTGATCTTGGACCATTGCATCTGCACCAAGCCTTTCTTTTGGGTTTGGCAAATCAGGCTGACATTAGAACCAGGTGAAGCATAAATATTTTCTGCATTGGATGTTTCTCCCCATATCCCTGAAAAGAAATGTCATGAACATCAGTTTGCATAATTCAACTTGAATGATTCTTAATTTAAATCCTTGATCACTTTGGTAAGGTGAGGAAGCCAATGAAGAAGCATCTCCCTGGCTGCAGTAGGGGCAGAAGAGAGCATGTGCCTGATCCAAACACAGAAGCATGAGACTTAATGCAAAGGAAGAGGCATTTACTTAAGGGCGCTAGATGAATTGACTAACTTCTGACTATCCCTTTATCTGGTTATCTCTCACTACCTATGAATAAAATTAAGCCTATTTGAAAAGTAAAGTCTACAAGCAAACTTATTATGACAATAAATCTTGCATTTATGTAATGGCTTTATGGGGGTGGGATTATGAATCAACAGCTGCATATAATACTAGAGGCATTTTCTGAAACTGCAAACATAACTCATATGCATACAGCAATTTTTACTAATGCATGTGTCCAAAAGGCTTTTACACATGCTAGCTTGTTTAATTCTCACACACCAAAGAGTGATGCTGTTAACACTAGTTATCAAAGAGGAAACAGGCAGAGAGATTAAATGATTTGCTCCAAGTCACAGACATATCTCCAGTAAAGAACATAAATTTGGTTGCTTAGAATCTGTGCTCTTTCTATTAACCTCATAATCTCCAACTGCCTCCCAAATTAGTTGAGAACGGCAGGAAATTTGACATTTGAGATATGAGGAAAGAAAGGACCTTCATTTCTTTGTAGCTGGGGATCCTAAGGGGAGGAAAGCAGAAAATATTGCAGGTAGGGCTTCCACTAAAGACAAAAAAACCATTGGTTAGTTCTGTCAATAATCAATGCTTTGAAATACTAGACATTAAAAAAGAAGAGTCCCTCTCATCAAATAGCACTGCACACTTGAAATATGTTAAGCACTGAGTCTCTCACATGCCTTCAATATTATAGGCCTCAGTTTTAGAATTAACATGGAATTCTGTTATAGGAATGATATATTATTGTGACGAGTGCCACTGAAGCTCACAAAGGGAAGAGATAAAAAGATGACAGACATCTGAGAAGATACAAGATTTTTAAAGGTACTTGACAAATGGGAATTTTTTACTTTTATGGATGCAGAAGTTTGGGTAGGCAGAGGTTAGTCAGTTTAATGGAACTCCCTGTGAGCTCTCCTTTGTCTGACAATATGCCTCTGATTCTATGGATAGCACTATATTCCAAAGTCACATTTGATTTAGAAATTCTCCTTAAAATCTTGGTAACTTAATGTGAAAGGCAGTTAATTCTTAAAACACCCTGGCTCACTGTAATATGCTCATGCTATGGTAGGCAAAACTAATCTTTCCTCCTGCTATTTTTAAATAAGCCCTTAAGGTATTGGTTCCCAGTGTCTTAAGGATCCCATTCCATCTCCCAGGTCCACACACTAACACGCCTCATTAAAATTCAACATATGTTCAATACCCAGAGTCATTAGTATTTGGAGAGGAAATGCTTACTTTATCTAAAAGGAAAAAAGATACATGAGAGAGAAAAAGTGGAGCAAGGAACTCTGAGCATGTGGGGTTCTGAGAAGTTTTTAGTATTCTGAAATTGTTCTGACTACTGCTTGGAGAACATTTCATTTCCAAAAAGCACACTAGTGCAATTACTCCAGAGATCGTTTTAGGAAGGAAATGGGTGAAAATGTCTCAGTGCAGGGGCACAAAGCACCCATTTCTTTTTTGTTTTCAGTATTCATTAGTAATCATTGCTATACGCTAACATCTCTCCAATAGCTGTCACTTAAATACATAACTAAAAACCTTAGTAGAGATCTGTTTTTTGGTGATTAATTTCAGCAGCAGTCACAGACATTTTAAATAAACAGAGGCCCCCTTCACTCTTAAAACGGCTGGCTAGACAAGAAAGAACGGGAAGACTTACCCCTGACAAAATGTATCTGGATGATGGAATAGACAGCACAGTATGTCCATTTCTTCTCCATCGTCTCCTGAAGGCCTCACAGCAGCAATTCCATAGTATCACAGGTGTTAATTGATGTCTTTAATTAAGCCACGTCTAGCCACCCTGTTCGTGCTAAGAAACCCCAAGTTTACCACACGCCTAAGTCTATTTATGACTTCGCTAGACCCAGGAAATGCAAAGCAGGCAGGAAGATAATGTGGTTCAGTGCTAAGTATATCTTAGTGTTGAAATTCTTCTTTAAATTTTATGTATTACTTATGTTAAAAGACTTTGCAGTATCCAAAGATTCATTCCTGCAGGATCTCTGTGTCAGTCAAGTTGCTTCAAAACCCAAACAAATAAATCATGCAGAGCAGTTCATAATGTGCGTTTTATACATTTCTTTTCAAGAGTACAAATTCATTTAACAAATGTGAGCTTAGTGTCCTTCATAATAGTGTCTCTGTTCCATGTTAAAATAGGTTTTCTTTCCAAAATTGCTCCAGGGTGAACAAAGAATTAATACACTTAATTTTAATAAACTCTGAAAAGTAACAGAGGGTGATGACAGATATCAAACTGAAAATTATTGTCCCCTTCTTGAAGGCAAACCCACATTTCTTGGGGTTAGAGAAGTAAGGGCTCTTTTTCACCCCTTGTCTACAACAGACTGGAGGTCACATAGGGAAGTCTCTCACTTGCTGGGTAGATCTTTATTGTAGATGGTAGAAGAGCTTGTTATGTCTCAGACAAAACCCATATAGAGTAAGGCTGAAACCACCAGAATCCAAAAGCCCAGAATGTCCCACTTCAGCCAGCTCCTAGGATTTTGCTGCCCACCCAGCTACTTTCAGTTACAGGGGACCCAGAATCAGTTTCAGGGAAATGTCTAATTAATTATGGAGGAATGATGACTGACTCCTGACAGATATTATTATATTGGTTTTTCAGCTTGGGATAAAATAGACCTTCCAATCTTTAGAAAACAAGCATTAGCCTGACAAATACAGCATAAATTTGATAAATTAAGAATAAAAACTGATGGGCCTCCCCAGTGGTGCAGCGGTTGAGCACTGGGTTGCAAAGCTGCCAGCAGCTTCTGCAGCACAGGTTCGATCCCCGGCTGCTCCCCGGCCATTAAAGGAGGGTCCCACATGGTGCGCAGACCTCTCCTACCACCCGCTGCTCCCCTCAGCAGTGTACTTCGGTCCTTCTGCCTGCTCTGCTCCCTGCTCTGGCTCTGGTGAATTCTCTCACCCTCCCGCGCTTCTGACTGTACCCAGTGCTTGTATACATACATACATACATACATACATACATACATACATACATACATACATAAATAAATAAATCTTTTTAAAAAAAAGAATAAAAACGGATAAATACATGTGTATAAGACAACCACATGAATGATTGGTGAGATAATCTGTGACCCTATTTTACTACTACAGTAAGGGTACCACACAGCAAGCCTGAAGACAAACAGGCAGAGCTGTGTTCCTGGGGCTTACTCTATTGAGATCAGGGGGAGATAATTCTGTTCAGGTTGTCATAACGGATCATGACATCATGCATCCATCATGCTCTGTCCTATGCAAGGACTTGGAGATTAGAATATGAATGCTGCTGAGATATAAGGCACTGCCCTTTCCATTCAAGAGCTAGATTAGAGTTTAGCTGGGAAAAGAGATATTTGCATGTGGTGAAATAAGACCTATTGTCTTCTAGGATGTCCAGGCTACCTCTACACTACCACCATGATGACTGTCATACTGACTCATTTCTATTCAACTAATGATGCTTCCTGCAAAGATCAGAAGATGGAGTTGATTATTTCCTGGTCCCCCTCCCCCCAACCATTATTCCCACTTCCATTCCCAGCCTCCCCACTAAGTTTGAGATCACCAGGGGTTGGGGGGCGTTAGGTCACATGGTGCTGACTGGTATGATTTCAGGGAGGGCTGGGGAGTTAATTAAAGGGCAGGAGGAGACATCTCTGCTTCTGAAATCTTCATTTATTCCTCTTTTCCCCTGGAAATTCCAGTAAATCACATCGATGGAGTATAATAACAAAAATAAGGCAGGAGACACATTGGCAAGATCCAGAGCTATAGGTTGGTGTCCCTATTAAATGAAGATATTAAACATCTAGAGAAGGAATTAGGTTACCTCACTCCACTTGTCATATTAAGAGAAATTTACCTCAGTGTAAACAATAAAAATTGGATTTTCTGAGAGCAACCCCCCCACCTTGAAGTATTTAGAAGTTTCTAACTGCTTTAAGTGAAGCAACTTAAAAAAAAACCCAAAACTCCCAAATTTCTTTTTTTCAGAAAGAAGAAAATTGTCACATATTTTCTAGAGCTACAGACTCACTTCCAATGGAATCCTTGCCTGTTGTCATTATCAGTTAAGTGTCTGGGTGGCAAAATCTGCCCTCCTTGGGTGTTAGCTGGGTCTTGGTTCAGGGCTCCTATTCCTAGAAACCTCTGTGGCCTGGAGTCATCAGATCTGATTAGTTTTCCTTGGGGAACCACCAAAGCTCTAAAAGAAGAAAAAATTCAGATGCCCACAGAATATGAATTGAATGTACCTGGCGTTGAGCTGCCAGGCCCAGGCAAGAACCCCTCCATAGCTGTTTGCATGCAGCAGGTGGCAGCAACACCCCACAGACCACCAGGTGGTGGGTAGTGCCCCCATAGCTTCTCAGTCCTGGTAATAAAAAGGCCCTTTCAGCACAGGGACAGGAATTCTCTATACTTAAAAATAACTCTTCTATGGAAGTCATGTCAATCTCTTCTATTATCCTCCCTGCTCACCAAATCCCAACTGCACAGCATTTCTTCTGCCTTAGATTATAGTCTGCTTAATATAAAGAGAAAACAGAAGCAGTCCATTTCACACACAAAAAGCAATCTTAAACTTCTCGAACCTAAGCGGCAAATTCAATTATTTACAAAAAGAAGCAGGGTTACACATTATTTCTGCTAGAGGCAAACCATAATTGTGTGTTTTGGACAAACTTTTTAAATGCTCCATCTAAGCCCTTACTCTCAATGAGGAGAGGATATTTTCAGACACAGGAAGCTGAGCAAAAGGTAATTTATTTTTGTGGTGTTTATAGAGATTAATTCAGCTATTACTGATTTGTCTTGGATTTTATTCTTTAGCTATTTATATAAAATCTTTGCATGTGGACTATTATACTTTTGCATGTTTCCCTCCCACAATGATTAGAAAAAACATAATGTTTAACTGTTTCAGTTAATCAAAAATATTTATTTATTGAGAGCCAACTTATAAATGATCCGTGAAGAGTCATGGTGCTAGGTGATTTTAAAATACCTTTGATAAAACACAGCCCTGCTCCTTCAGCACTTTGCTGGGTGAAAACCTAGCATTTTACTGGGTGAAAACACCCTCATGCACCAAAAGAGTCAAGTAACATAAAACAGAACTGAATGAATAGGTTGCAGAGGGCTTTATAAAATGGCTGATCTCCTAGAGACCAAGTGGTCTAGGAACATCTCAAATGAGTGGTGGAAACCCTGAGGTAAGTCATTTCAGATAGAGGAAACAGTAAGAGCCTACACAGGGCCGCTGAGGTTCAAGAACAGAAAGCCTACACAGTGCATCAGCTGTCTTGTGGCGCAGAACCCTTATCGGTGGGCTGAGAGCAGAGTGGTTCAATGGGAGAGCTTAGATTATGGAATCCTTCAAATTCTAGCTTATGGACTTTCTATTCCCATCTACAGAGACTTTATTGTTTTTCAACAAAAGCACAGCTCATTTAAAGTAAACTTTTAGAAGGATAAACTAGGTGGACATGTGTAAATTGAATAAAAGAGGAGAGAACAGGGAGGCAGAAGATCTGCTAGGAATTTTTTATTTCTTCAAGAGGAGCCTTAGGATGAGCACCTTCTGACTGTGGTGGTTCTGGCAGTGTGGGATGGTGACCTGGACACTGCACAGAAAGAGGAGGTGAGAGTCGGTGTCCAACTCGACATGATGTCCAAATCTCTAGTTACGTGCTTGACCTTGGGCAAGAGGAGAAAAGAAAAACTCTAAGAGAGCTGATTGCTGCTGAAGTGCCAGCCACCTACCCATAGGGCAATCGGCAAAGGATCACTGACTTCAGATGGGAAGTGAAAGGTAACTTAGTGGGTACAGGAAGAGGCCCTGCTTTCATGAGAACTGAGTTGCTTCTTTTGTGTTTCAATCAAATTTTATGAGTTTTAAGAATTACCATTTAATAGAAAAGAATTTCATGAGAGACTTGCAGCCTAGCAATCTGTTTTATCACCATCATTTCCACACTGCTCAATTCCATCTACTAAAGGCTGATTTTAATTTAATACATTTTTTTCCAGTGACAACATCAATATCTGCTCATCACAAGAAAGCATTTTAAAAAGATTAACAAAGAAAATAAAAATCATCTGGAATCCTAACCACCCCCAAACAAACAGCATTTATAGTTTATCTTTCAGACTTTTACATAAATATCTACATATAAATAAAATCAGCTTTCTCATATTTTATAACATGACTCTAACCTGTGTTTTTTTCAGTTCATAATCTATTGTAAGGATAAATACTTGTTATAAAAAAAGATAAACTTTTTCCTTTTAAAATAAAGGCACAATATTTTATTGTGTGGTTGTACAGAAAAATGAAATATAAGTAAAATAATATAAAATTTCCATTTAATATTTTACTGTGAAAAAATTATAAAACTCAACTGAATAATTAATTGTAGCACGTAATCTTTGAATTTTTTTATGGGCAAGTTGAGAGAGAGAGAGAGAAAGAGAGAGAGAGAGAGAGAAAGAGAGAGAGAGATATGAGTTTATTTGCTAAAGCCCTGGGAAACCACTGACTCAATTAAAATTCAATAATGTTGAATTTTGCAGGAACAAATTTTTAAAACCATTAAGATTTCTAGGATTAACAAGCCAAAATTAGAAGAATTATTAAAATGCTATATTCTACCTGATTTCAAAGTATTGAAATGTTAAAAAAAAGTCTCTTTGCATTCAATAGAGTAAAAAAGAATACCCTGAAAAATTGAGTTGTGTTACAATTGATTTTAGATCTTAAAAAAAAA